ATGTTTTCTTACGATGGACATTGTCAAATAATTTCAGAAAGTCCGTATAACATTCAAAGACATTTCCCCATCCACCATTTTAATCACTCAAAACATTTAATCAGTCTCTCATCTGCTGAAAGTTTGAGTCTCCCTAACAATCTTAGGCTTCAGTCATTAGTTGGCAACATATGTTAGGCTAACTAGTTATAATTCTCTGGTTTTCCATCCTCTTGAGATTCTTGAGCGACATGTACCATTTTCCATATTAATGAGTGTTCCCAAATTGGAATGTTGGAAAATTACATTTGAGCATTTGCAATACTCTCAACCTAGTTCCTACTATCTCTAGTTCCTTAGAATACTTTCATTCAGAGATGGAACCCATCTGTTTCTGGAAATACTGACATTAAAGAGTGGCAAACTGTATCCGTTACTGTTATTTTGCTTATTGCAAATACTGACAAGATTTTATTCAATATGCCCAACATTTCCTTACTTTCATTAGCAAAAACGATATTGTCAATTTTCAGAGGCCCACTCTTGGGTCCTGACAAGATTCTGACAATAGCACTGAAGAGTTGTGCTCCAGAATGAGTTGCAACCCTAACCAAACTGTTTCGGTACAGCTACAGCAGTGGCATTTATCCAAAAATTTGCATTTGAAAAATTGCTCAGGTATTTTCAGTTCACAAAACCCAACCAAGTGAATTATTGCCCTATCAGTCTACGCTGAATCATCGAAGTGATGGACAGGAGTATTGGCTAAGCTATCAAGCAGCACTTGCAAAGGGATAACCTGCACACTGACATTCAGTTGAGTTATGCCAGTGGCACCCAATTCTTGGCCTCATCATAGTCTTGGTCAAGGACAAAAGAGCTGAATTTCAGAGGTAAGGTGAGAGTGACTGCCTATGACATCAAGCCACCTGGCAAAATTGAAGTCAATACAAATCAGGGTAAAAATGCTTTCCTGCTTGGAGTCATGACTAGCACAAAGGGAAATAGTTATAGTTGTTAGAGGTTATACAAGATCGCTTTAGGGGAATACTTGAGGGAATGGAATAAGTGCATTCAAAAATATTGTGGTGAAGCTGGTAAAATTATTACCTCTGGTAAGTGGTCACAGATTTAAAATAATTAACAAAAATTTGGAGATGAAATCAGGATAGATTATTTAGTTGAGGTTTATAATCTCAACATACTACCTGAACATGTGATGGAATTATAACACAGAGGGACAATCAGATGGCAATTAGATAAATATTTTACAAAAACTAATTTGTACAATTACAGGAAAATGAATAAATTGCACAGCTCTCCAAGTACAGATGCAGGCACAACAGGCAAGTGACCACCTCTTGTGCTGCAATCTATGATTCTAACTTCACAAGGACATAAATTAGTTCATTAGATGGTTACACAAAATATCGGAAATTTAAAAGAGAAATGCAAAATTGTGTGTTTTGGGTGGAAAAATAAGTAGTCATATGTATTGGATGTAACACAATAATAAAAAAAGGCAGGGACATTCAGAAATTCAGATACATAAATCTTAAAGTGAAAGAAGTTGAAGAAATGGTTAACAAATGCATAATGGAACCCAGTATTTTTAAAGATAGATAAATAAAGAAACCAGGAGAAGTAAGCAATTCAGCCTTTCAAGCTTACTCCACCATTCATTATGATCATGGCTGATCCTCCACCTTTCTGCTTTCTCTCCACACCCCTTGATAAATTTTTAGGTAATAAGGGTGTCAATTTCTTTCTCAAATATACTTCATGACTCAGTCTCCACAGCCCTGTAGTAGTAAATTCCACAGGTTGACCAGTCTCTGAATCAAGTTCTGTTTCCTCACTTCAGTTCTAAATGGTTTACGTCATATCCTTAGACTGTGGCCTCTGGGTCTAGAATCCACCAACCAGAGCAAAGATCCCCCCTATATCTAGTCTATCCAGACCCATTAGAATTTGATACTTTTCTACCATACTTTTCATTCTTTTAAAAATCCTGAATGCAGATTCAGTTGAACCAATCTCTCCTCAAATGAAAGTCTTGTCATCCCCAGTACCAAGCTAGTGAACCTTCACTGCATTCCCTCTGTGGTAAATATATCCTCTCTTAGGTAGGGAGGCCAAACCTGAACTCCATACTTCAGGTGCAGCTTTACCAAGGCCAAGAAGTAACATTAAAACTGCATAAACAATTCGTCAGATACAATTAAGATACTACGTTAAGTTTTGGTCACCTTCATTTCAGGAAAACATCTAGATATGAAGATATGGGCAACACGGTGGCTCAGTGGTTAGCACTGCTGCCTCACAGCACTAGGGACCCGGGTTTGATTCCACCCTCCGGCGACTGTCTGTATGGAGTTTGCACATTCTCCCCATGTCTGCATGGGTTTCCTACGGGTGCTCCGGTTTCCTCCACAGTCCAAAAATGTGCAGTCTAGGTAGATTGGCCATGTTAAATTGCCTGTAGTGTTCAGGGATGTGTATATTAGGTGGGTTATAGGGGGATGGGTCTGTGTGGGATGCTCTGAGGGTTGGTGTGGACTTGTTGGGCCAAAAGGGCCTGTTTCCACACTGTAGGGATTCTATGAGTTTCTAAGTGCAGAAGAGACCTAATGTGACAGTCTCAAGTTTGGTTATTGAGGCAGACTAGAGAAATTATGTCTCTTACATTACAATACAGATGATTTAGCCTCTAAAAACAGGCTTTTAAAATTAAAAGGTTTTGCAAAGAGAAAAATTGTTCTCACTAGTTACAGCTGAAGGAAACAAACAGAAGAGCATGTCCAGAGTAAAGGAAATGGCTAGGAGAAATACATACAAGCTTTTTTAGGACAGAGAATATGTCGTCAGAATTCATGGTGAAACAGAATTTATTATAACAAAGTGGATAAATATCTGAAACAAAGAACTAGAGTGGAAATGGAAATAATTGGATAGCTCTTCTAGAGCTAGCAAAGGTGCAATGAGCCAAATGATCTCTAGTACAAAGTCCTGATAATGACCTGATGCCTGCATAATACAAATTTAACTTCTTTATGGAATAGCCAATGGAAATCACTAAATTTTGAAACAAGGAAGAAATTAGATTATTTGGAAATGTTCAAATTTATACTCACCAATAAAAACTTATTCCATATATCTAAGAATTTGAATCGCCCAGCAAGTACTAAATTCCAGTATGCAATTGCCATTTCTAAATCTGCAAAATAAAACATTTTGTACATCTTCAAGAAAAATGTCTACATCAAGCATCAAGAATAGTGCTGCATATATCAAATAAAACTAAGCATTAACTTTATACATATTTTTCTCTATTTTGCATGGTTGCTCCAAAAAAATGCTTAACCAAAGGAAAACATTAATAGTTTTTACATAAAGTAGTAATTTAAAGCCTGTCAGCACCTGATCAATAGAAAATGCCTAGAGATTAAGTTAACTACAGATACATCAGTAAGAGGCTTAAAAATTACTGTAAATGTTCAAACCTCAATAGCCAAATGTATTCCTATTCTCATAAAATAGTTGATTAAACTGTGTTAACACCTGAACTGTACCCAAATTAATAGCCCAGTTAATCGCAATGCCATACAAGGGAAATGCTGCTTTATTTCGTAGCTTCTCAAATATCCTTCAAAATAAAGATAGAGGACAATTCAGCATAATCTTAAACATTGATTATACCCAACATGCCCATCCACAACGAGCATGTATGAGCAAAGGCAAATTAGCCAAGAATCAACTGATCACTCCTCTTAAAATCAAACAGGAATAGCTGATATAAAGAATGGGTATTTCACAAATGAACTCTTAAGGAGCAATAGGAGCAACATGTTTTTAATATTAACAAATGGAGATTTTGGATTCAAATACTGATTTTAATTTCCATTTGTAGGCAATTTTTCCTCAGCATCTAAGTGGGTTTTCACTTAGAAGCATCAACAATAATTGAAGCACATCCCTGGTCCTATTTACGTCAATTTTGCAGTTGAGACATTTTAGTACAGATTTCTAACTTTTGCACCAAACAGCATACTCAGCTTAGATACAGTCTTTAGTGCAGAATCTAACTCCAGCTGCCACTGTCACAACACAGTGCAAAATCAGATACTACATATAGAAAAACAGAAAGTACTGGAGAAAATCAGGTCTGGCAGAGTTAATGTTCAAGTCTGATTTGATTCTCACTACTTCAGCACAGATGCCAAGACCTGGATTTTGTTCATTAGAAATTAAATAGCCAATCATACTTCATTTTCATTGAACACGTCATGAAACGTGGTATAAAATTGTGGTGAACTTCAACTCTTCTCTGGGATTTGCCAGCTGCTATTAATTGACCTGACTTGAAAACAGCAATAAGTTTTAGAAACAGGTTAATGGAATAGTAGAAGTGAAACAACCAACATTCAAAAGTCCTTTTTATCCTCCACAAAACGCAAACCAAGTTAGATGGAATGCTTTGAAGTACGTAAAGATAGCTTAATGCCTTTCGCTTCCACATTTTTCAAATCTATATGTAAATTTGCATGAATAAAGAGGACCATGGTGCACAAGCATCTTTGTTAAACCACTGCAATAAAAGTTTATTTGTCTGGCCTATTTCACTCAAAAGGGCTTGATACATTATGGAGGTAAGATAGGAATCATCAGAAAATTATCAGACTGCTAATTTGGTGCATTAGAGGCCATGAAACAGATTTATAAAAAGCAAGCTGTATAAAACACTGGTATTTCCATTCACTATCAAGTTAATTTTACAGGCAAAATAATTTTCTGCAAATGTAGCTTCAAATGTAGAAAGACAAATTGAGAGATTCACAAGGATTAAGACAGATTTATAACGGCCTAATCAAGTGAACTTTCCCCGAGCAGGTCAGTAAAGCCGTACTCCCACATTCTGCTTGACTGCTGAGAAAAATCCTGGATACAGGCACCTTACTTTTCTTTTTCTGATCCCACAAAACAAAAAATACTGCTTCAGGAATCCAAATGATAGTATGGGTGTCTGGATATCAGTTGTGGTTATCGTGAAGGACTCTCCTTCTCGACCTCTCCCCTTGCCAGAGGCAGGGTGGCAAACCACCACCAATTGACCCTCTCTAATGAGGGTCAATGTGATGACTTTACCTTTACCAGTACCTTAGCCTAGGGTGATGTTTCCTAAATTTGGGCTTTCACAAATAAGTTTAATCTTTCCATTCATACTTAGCTACCAGTTTATTTAAATCCTTTGTGACCTAGTCAAATCTCCAAAGACCTAACTGTTAAATAATCAAAATAAACTGTTCAAACCATGAACTTTTATTTTCACATATTTGTGATATAACAATAAGATCAGCCAGAATACCTGGAAAAAGTATTTATTTTGCCAGAAATCATAACAATTGCTTTTAAACAGGATCTTGAATGGCAAAATCACAACCAGACCAAAAGGATCAAGAATCTTCTTTAACTAATCATCTATAGACATGTAGCAGAGGATAACAACACATGGTAATGTCCATCGTCTGCAGAATTAGCATTTGGAGGGGAAGAAACAAATAGAGTCTAGATCAGTTTACGTTTGAAAATCCACATACGTATGTGAATCAGTTCTGACACAGGACCTCTATATGCTAAATTTTGGCTTGCTATTTCTCTTTCCAGATGAACAATCTTCAGAGTATTTCCAATTTTTATAACTTGTTTATTCTGTCTGATTAACTTTGCATTTTAGTGCGTAAAGCTCATAAATAAATTTAATTGTTTCATGGCAATTTTGTAAAGCCATGAATGGTAATCATTATATCTTCTAAGCGTTTTGCTAACATTATTCTATGTTTATACCTTTGAAAAATTAGTTCTGCCCCTCTTGCATTCTGTTGCATTTGAAGATTCTGCAGGTCTGCCTCCACACTTCTCCCTACTCCTCGTTATCTGGCAGCCTAGGTCTTGTTCCCAAGCCTCCTTTAGATTTTCTGTGTTGTCTGCAGACATGGAGATAAATAGGGCGCAGATGTATTTGTGGAGATTTTCCAGAAGGTGGGAAAATAGTTCATATGGGTTGATTTGGGCTGGAGTCAATTACTTTGTGTCAGAAGAAGTGAAACTGCTAGCTAAGACACTGCTAAGTCCTGTCTGAGGTATCTAACTCGAAAAAAGCTTTTTGTCAACTTTTTGACTCTACTTGCTGACTACTATGCAGCATGGAGAGAAAACTATATACATAAGATCAAGTTTTTTGAAGCATTTCTTCTGGCAGAAGGGCACTAAAGATAACAATAGTCCTGACTGGGAATTTAGGAAGGGAATATTAAGCTTGTGGCTTCACAGGAGTGTTTTGTGATTCCCAGCACAACCATTAATACTGTTGAAGGTCATATCCTGCATGTGTCTTCAACTACAGGACCATTTGGAAGACTGATTCCTCCACTTGGTGAGTTAAGTGGTTCAGATAGCTTCTGAGCTGCCCAAACTGCAGGAACAGACTTAATCAGGCCATATCTGTCACCAATAAATAAACTGTGCTCATGTTGATCATTTGCTACTTAAGAATTCAATTTTTATTAAAATAATACACAAAGTATTATCAAAAAATGTCAATGTGTAACAGTGATAGGGAAAAGGTGTTTTTTATAACTCCACGGAGCTAAATATATAGTAATCTGCATTTCTGATCTAAATTTCTTACGTATAGACAAAAAATAAAAAAAGTGAAAGCATAAGAACATAAGAACTAGGAGCAGGAGTAGGCCGTCTGGCCCTTCAAGCCTGCTCCGCCATTCAATAAGATCATAGCTGATCCTTTCGTGGACTCAGATCCACTTACCCGCGTTCTCACCGTATCCCTTAATTCCTTTATTGTTCAAAAAAAATCTACCTTTTTTTTAAAAACGTTTACTGAAGTAGCATCAACTACTTCACTGGGCAAGGAAAGCAGTAGACTAGGACAAAAAAATTGTTTAACATGTTTTCATATGCTACTCCAATTGGAACAGTATATACAGTAAAAGTTTTAAAAAGTAAACAAAACCAACAAATTAAATCACTACTTTTCCTCAATTCTGCCTACGGTCAATCACAACTAACAACACATCAACTCCAATTTGTGTAAAACAGTGAGTAGCCAGTTACAGTAAAATGCCACATGGCATTTTCTATTCTCTTAAGCATCCCCCACTAAAAACAATGTTAAAAAATTATGACAAACAAAAAGACAAAGACACATTATAAGTCTTGTACCCTTCTGCTAAGCATTTTCTCATTGCATTCAATGAAAAGTCCATTCCTTACAGGCTGCATTTCTCTGAAACAACTACAATACATAAAATCCAAGAGAATGCTGTTCTTTTAGTTCTTTTTAGTTACGCACTGAAGATTTTTGAAAATCAAAAGATCTGCACTTACCTAAACCCTTCTGGCCTGGATTCTTTGCAAAGTTGAATGTGAATTGGTAAAAGTCTTTAAACTTTGCTTGATCTTTTAATTCTAGTTCCAACTTTGGCAGTAGGATTTTCAGTTTTTCTATGCTGTCACACCTTAGGCAATAAGAAAATATTTTAATCAAAGAAATGTCAATGTATCATGTATTTCTATGTTCACATCCATTGTTCCCATGAAATCATTAAAATTTCTTCATCGTCCCCCTCTTTCCAATTGCAAAGTTGTGGTCTCTTTTATATCAAGCCTCAATATGGTCCAACTTAAAACATTTTTTGATCCATTACTTTACAATGATAAGCCAATTAAACAAGGGCATCGATTTACAGGTGAAGCAGCAAGTTGTTTTAAAATTTAAAAAATTTGTGTGCATACCAATCACACTTTTAAAGGATGATTCAAATTCAGTGATTCAAAAATGCCAATATATTTGTATGAAAGATACAAATAACTCAGATTGATAGTAAAACTGGCAAGCTTTGAAACTCTCAGACTTTTGGATGCCACCATAAGGCCCAATTCAGTTACTAATTTCTCGATGGTTTCTTTCCTGCTCCTAGTTTATACGTTTCGGGGCAAATGATTGGGCTGTTTAAATTTTTTTAAAGAATTTGATCGAGTCAAAGGGAAGAGATATTTCCTATGGTGGAACCATTGAAGTAAAGGGGACATGACAATAAGATACCGGAGCAGAATGAAGCCATTGAGTCTGCGCTACCATTCGATCATGGCTGATATGTTTCTCAACCCTATTCTACTGCCTTCTCCCCATAACCGTTGATCCCTTGATTAATCAAAAACCTATCTCTGTCTTAAATACACTCAATGACTTGGCCTCCACAGTCTTCTACAGCAATGGGTTCCATAGATTAACCACTTTCTGCTGAAGAAATTCTTCATTTCAGTTCTAAAGAGTCGTCCCTTCATTCCGAGGCTTCGTGCTCAGGTGCTAGTCTCTCCTACTAGTGGAAACACATTCTCCATGTCGACTCTATCTAGGCCTCTCAGTATTCTGTAAATTACAATCAGATCCTCCATCATCCATCAAGTGTAGACAGAGTCCTCAACCGCTCCTCATTTGACAAGCCCTTCATCCCCAGGATCATTCTTGAAAACCTCCTCTGGACCCTCTCCAATGCCAGCACATCCTTTCTTAGATAAAGGGCCCAAAACAGCTCAGAATATTCCAAATGGAGTTTGACCAGACTCTTATACAACCTCAGGAGTATATCACTGTTCTTGTGTTCTCACCCTCTTGAAACGAATGCTAACATTGCATTTGCCTTCCCTACTGCCAACTAAACGTGCACATTAACCATAGGAGTCCTAGTTCAGGATTCTCTCAAGTCCCTTTGTGCTCAGATTTTCAAAAGCTTTACCCATTTAGAAAATAGTCTCTGCCTCTATTCTTCCTACTAAAGTGCATAACCTCACATTTTCCCATATTGTATTCCAGCTGCCACTTCTTTCCCCACTCTCCTAGCCTGTACAAGTCCGTCTGCGGTCTCCCCGCTTCCTAAACGTCATCTGTCCCTCCACTTATTTTTGTGTCATCTGCAAACTTAGCAACAATGCCCTCAGTTCTTTCATCCAGATCGTTAATGTATAATGTAAATAGTTGTGGTCCTATCACTGACCCCTCTGGAACTCCACTTGCCACCAGCTACTATCATGAAAAAGACCCATTTATCCCTACTCTCTGCCTTCTGCCAGTCAGACAATCCTCTATCCATGCCACTGCCTTGCCCCAACACCATGGACTCTTATCTGGCAAATTCCTGTGCACCACCTTGTTAAAGGCCTTCTGAAAATCTAAATAAATCATGGTCACTGGCTCTCCTTTGTCTAATATGTTTGTTACCTCCTCAAGGAATTCTAACAGATTTGTCAGGCATGATCGACCCTTGACGATACTGTGCTGATTCAGTTTCGTTTTACAATGCCCTTCCAAGTATTCTACAATCTCATCATTAATAATGGATTCTAAAATCTTGCCAACAACCAAGGTCAGGCTAACTGGCCTATAGTTTCCTGTCTTCTGCTTCCCTCCCTTCTTAAACACGTGTGTTACATTAGCCATTTTCCACTCCTCTGGAACTCTCCCTGATAACCAGTGATTCATGAATGATCACCACCAATGCCTCAACAGTCTTCCTAGCTATCTCCTTAAAAATTCTGGGGTGTAGTCCATCTGGTCAGATGATTTATCCACCTCTCGGCTCACCAGCACCTCCTCAGTGATGACCACTACACTCACTTCTGCCCCCTTTATTTTCTTTATTCATTCACGGGATGATGGCGTCGCTAGTTAGGCAGCATTTTATTGCCCATCCCTAATTGACCAGAGGGCAGTTAAGTGTCAATCACATTGCTGTATGTCTGGAGTCACATGTAGGCCAGACCAGGTAAGGATGGCAGTTCCCTTCCCTAAAGGGCATTAGTGAACCAGATAGGTTTTCCCGACAATCAACAATAGATTCACAGTCATCATTAGATTGTTAATTCCAGACCTTTTATTCAATTCAAATTCCACCATCTGCCATGGCAGGATTCGAACCCAGGTCCCCAGAACATTATCTGGGTCTCTGGATTAACAGTCCAGCAATAATACCACTAGGCCATCGCCTCCCCTGATTCTCTTGAAGTCCTGGCATGCTGCTGGTGTCTTCCACCATGAAGATGATGCAAAGTAACTATTCAGTTCCTCCATCATTTCTTTATTCCCCATTACTACTTCTCTAGCCTCATTTTCCAGCAATCTGATGTCCACTCTTTCCTCTCTCTTACCTTTTATATATCTAAAAAATTCTTGCAATCTTCTTTTATATTACTAACTAGCTTACCCTCATTTTTCATCTTCTACCCTGTTATTGCCTTTGTAGTTATCCTCTGCTGGTTTTTAAAGGCTTCCCAATCCTCTGGCTTCCCACTAATCTTCACCACATTGTATGCTTTTACTTTTGCTTTTATGCTGTCCGTGACTTCCCTTGTCAGCCATGGTTGCCTTGTCCTCCCTTTAGTATGGTTTTTCTTGACCTTAAAAAAGATCAAGACCACCGAAGTGAAAAGTCAGGAAGCATTTTTTTCTCAAAGGTTAGTGTAAATTGCAAAGACTGGGACAATTACTGCTGTCAAAACTGAAATACTACTTTTATTATGTAAGAGTATCAAGGGATACACGTGGAGTAAAGGTGGAAGTGTACAGGAGAGGAACTAAGCAACCATGATCTAGTCAAATATTGCAGCAAGTGCAAAGGGTATATTGCCACCTCTTGTTACGAGCAAAATATTACAGATGCTGGAAATCTGCAATAAAATTACAATCCTGGAAATACTTGCATGTTAAGCAGCAACTGGAGAGAAAGAGAATTAACAATCCAGGTTGATGACTTTTATTTGATCTGATGAAAGGTCAAATCTGAAACATTAACTTTGTTTCTCCAAAGATGGTAGCCAAACAAGACTCCTTCATATTTCTAGCTTTCACCAGTTCTCATTTCTTCAGCTTTCACAGAGTCGTACAGCATAGAAACAGACGCTTCAGACCATGCCAACCATGTTTCCAAACTAAACTAGTCCCACCTGCCTGCACTTGACCCATATCCCTCCAAACCTTTTCTATTCATGAACTTATCCAAATTTCTTTTAAACATTGTAACTGTACCTACATCCATCACTTTCTCTGGCAGTTCATTCCACACAGGAACTGCTCTCTGTATAAAAAGGTTGCTCCTCACGTCCTTTTAAAATCTTTTTCCTCTCACCTTAAAAATATGTCCGCTAGTTTTGAACTCCCCCACTGTAGGGAAAAGACCCTTGTCATTCTCCTATCTATGCCCCTCATGCTTTTATAAACCTCAATAAGGTCACCCCTCAACTATCTAAGCTCCAGCGGAAAAATATTCCAGTCATCCAGTCTATTTTTGTATCTCAAACCCTCCTTTCCTGGTATCATCCTAGCAGGTCTTTTCTGAACCCTCTCTAGTTTAATTAAATGCCAGGAGTTGGTTGTTCTCTTTATTAGTTAACCAGTAAGAGTAGCTGCACTGCGGTGCAGAGTGCCTAAATGGATGTGAGTGTAAGTGACTGTGAAGGTTAATTAGTACTTGAGTTTGGTAGGAAGAGAAGGCTGTTGGCTATAGGACATTTGGACGCTCAAATTTGCCTAGTTTGTAAGACTATATTTTCAACTCATCTACTTCCGTTATGGTTTATTGTATACTTCTATTAACATTTTGCCTATTGTAATCATACAACATTGAAAACATACAAGGGCCCAGTCCAAAAAGATTTGTTTGTAATGTGTGCATGTAAGGGATACTGGACAAGGACTCACCAAATGAAAATTCAAATAGGGATAGAGAAACTTGGAGCCCATAGCATGACTCATGACAAAGCACTCGAACTTATGAATGCTTGTTGAAAACTAGTGTAGTTGTTTCCTTAATAGGAGTATGTAAATTTTTATGATTCTTGCAGAGACCAATGACTTTTAAAAGAAATTTGAACTTCAAGTGACTGACTAAAAGGAGCACATGACTAGATTTAGGTCTTGAAGCAGTTACTGTAAAAATGTAACAACAGCAATATTGATTGACTAACATCAGTTTTTGTAGATATCAAACTGCAGAAAAAACTTCTTATTTTACTGTTCACACATTCAAAAATCCCACATAGCATCAGTATTTTGCAGTGTCTCTTAAGGAGACACTTCAATTCCCAGGAACCAATCCAAATAATTCTTAACTCCTGCAGGCTTGCTTTTCTTTTTGCAGAAATGACTTTCACGGCGAGGGGATAATCACCTGCCAGCCTCACGTATTTTGAGCCCCGCTATCTCTAGTGTCTGTTTTCTTCTCCAGGGTGGAAGAACTAATCTTGCACAGATTTTCATCTCTGGTCACAGTTGAAAATAGAAAACATCGAAAATAGGAGCAGGAGTAGGCTAATGGCCCTTCGAGCTTGCTCTACCACTCAGTATGATCATGGCTGATCATCCAACCCAGTACCCTATTCCCACTTGCTCCCCATATGCCTTGATGTCTTTAAAATCTAAAATATCTCTTTCTTGAATATATTCAGTGACTTGGCCACCATAGCCTTCTGTAGTAGAGAATTCTACAGATTCACAACCCTCTGGCTGAACAAATAATTTCTCATCTCATTCCTAAATGGCCTATCCTGAATTCTTAAACTGTGCAACCTGGTTTATAGACTCCCCAGTATGAGAAACCATCCTCTTGTACTCAAGGGAATACAAGGGAGATTTATGAAATCTGTCCTCACATACACCAGTCTAATAAAGAAAGTTTTTAAAAAACATTCAAGAACCTCCATCCCTTTATCGATCAACTACATCAATGTTGCTAGATACCTGGAGATCCCCTTGACCTGAAGCCAGATTCAAACTCTTGCCACAGATTGCTAAATCTTTGTATACAATTTTTTCAGTAGTCAGCAATAAGCATCTTTGTTTCACCAATCACCAGTAAATCTATTCACTTTTCATGTCCCAACCCTACCACCTTCTGAATCTACCCCTTGTAAAGCTAACCCCAAATTAACTTACAAACGGGACTTTCAAAACTTCAATTTTCTAGCCTTTGGCCCTCTGTTTGCCACAACATTCTTTACTGCCTCAGCCTCATCTTTAAAGTTCTGGTCCTCAGTATCACTACTTTTTTTCACTCTGGCCATTGCCTGAGTATAGTCCTCAACTCTGCTTCCCTGATCAGAGTTACACAGACTTAAAGGGATACAGTAATTAACTGGTTTAGCCATCTACTGCCAGATGTGGCTGGACCACAACGTACCATCTGCCTGCTCTCAGCTACTGAAACTGCTCACTATTCCATTATCATCCTGGAATATAATGATAGGACCCAGCTTCTTTTCTCTACTGCAAACTGTTGCCATAAACTCCTCTCGCCTCTATCCTCATCTCATGAGAAGCTCATGGACATTTTCAATAACAACCCGTTCAGACACATTATCACACTCTTCTGAGGGCATCACATCCTGAGGTGCGACTTGGACTGGTCCCTCTGGCTCAGAGGCAGGGCAATTACTTCCCCTAAAGCTCCCCTGATCCAGCCTTAACTGGCACATTTCAAATCACCCCACCATCCTGTCCCATATGCCTTCATCTTTTCTATGAGACCCACCTCCAGTTTCCTCAAATCTTCTGCCACTAAACTGATTATCATCCAACTTCTGCTCTACATCCCCATGTAAGCACATAGTTTATAGTCCTCTTTTTTAGAAAAACAAAAATTGCTCTCTTGCTTTTAAATATGCATTGACTCATTCCTCAAAACACAACACTCAGCTCCACCATCCTTAACTACCATCCCATGGCCAACCTCATTTACTGTCCAAAGTCCTCAAACATGTTGCCAAATCCAATTACAATCAATCAAAGCTGATGTTTCTCAATCCCATTCTCCTGCCTTCTCCCTGTTACTCTTGATCCCTGTATCAATTGAGAACCTGTCTAGCTGTCTTAAAGACACTCTCAATGACTTCTCCTCCACAATCTTCTGCAGCAATGAGTTCCAAAGATTAACCACCCTCTGGCTGAAGAGATTTCTCATCTCAGTTCTAAAGGTTCATCCCTTCATTCTGAGGCTCTGCCTTCGGATCCTAGTGTCTCCTACTAATGGAAACATCTTCTCCATGTCCACTCTATCTGGACCTTTCAGTATTATGTAAGTTTCAACCAGATCCCCCATCATCCTTTTAAACTCCATCAAGTACAGACCCAGAGTCCTCCTACGCTCCTCATATGACAAACCCTTCATCCCCGGGATCATTCCTGCAAACCACCTCTGGATCTCTTCCAATGCCAGCACATCCTTCCTTAGATAAGGGGCCTAAAATAGCTCATAATATTTCAATGGAGTCTGACTAGAGCCTTATATGGCCTCAGAAGTATATCTCTTGTATTCTCACCCTCTTGAAACGAATGCTAAGATTGCATTTGCCTTCCTAACTGCCAACTGAACGTTCATGGCAACCTTAACAGAATCCAGGACCATTACTTCCAAGTCCCTTTGTGCTCAGCTTTCTGAAGCCTCTCCCCATTTAGAAAATAGCCTACACTTCTATTCTCCCTACCAAAGTCCATACTGTATTCGATCTGCCACTTCTTTGCCCACTCTCCTAGCTTGTCCAAGTTTTTCTGCAGCCTTCCTGCTTCCTCAATACTACCTATCCCTCCACCTATCGTTGCATCATCTGCAAACTTAGCAACAATGCCCACAGTTCCGTCATCCAGATCATTAACGTATATGTGAATAGTTGTGATCCCAACACTTATCCCTGCGGAATTCTACTTGTCACCAGTTGCCATCCTGAAAAAGCCCCCTTTACTCCTATTCTCTGCCTTCTGTCAGTCAGAAAATCCTCTAACCATGCCAGTACCTTGTCCCTAACACCATGGGTTCATATCTTTCTTAGCTTCCTATGTGGCACTTTGTCAAAGGCTGTATGGAAATTCAAATAGATCACAATCACTGGCTGACTAACTTGCTCATTACCTCCTCAAAGGAATTATAACAGAGTTGTCAGGCATGACACAAAAATAGTAATTGCTGGAAAAACTCAGCAGGTCTGGCAGCATCTATGGAGAGAAATCGGAGTTAACATTTCGGGCTGAGTGATCCCTTAGAACTGGGACTCTCCGTGATTCCATTGATTCATGAAAGATCACCATCAATGCCTCTACAATATCCTCAGCTCTCTCCTCCAGTACTCTGGGGTGTGGTCCATCTGGTCCGTAAGATTTATCAGCTTCCCCAGTAACTTCTCCTTAGTGATGACCACTGTATTCACCTCTGTCCCCTGTTTCTCAAAGTTCTGGTATGCTGCTGGTCTCTTCCACCACGAAGACTGATGCAAAGTACCTATTCAGTTACTGAACTATTTCTTTGTTCCCCATTACTACTAATTCCACCTCATTTTCCAATATTCCAATGCCCAAGTTTGCCCCTCTCGTAATTTTCAGATATCTAAAACAACTCTTACAATCTTCTTTTATATTACTAGATAGCTTACTCTCATATTTCATCTTCTCCCCCCTTATTGATGTTTTAGTTATCCTGTGCTGATTTTTAAAGGCTTCCTGATTCTCGAGCTTCCCTCTAATCTTCACCACACCCCTGCCAAGAACAATACTGCTGTCTGACCTGACCCAACAAGTGAAAAAGAGGTGATGGGGTATACTGTTATGGTCAACCACAACAAGGTTGAGAAAATTTGGAAGAAAAATGGGCTCCTGTTAAAATTAATGTAGGCTTTTACTGAAAGATCTAGAGCAATACTGAAGGCAAAAATTGTTTAAATAAACAGTATTATTTATTACAGTTTAAAATCTACCTGCTAAAGAAGGTTCCAAAATTCAAAATGAAAAGCAACTGAAAACAAACACTACAAAAACTGGTAAGGTAAATAGCAAAGACAGCTTGAAAAGCACCAAATTGAGGAGTTAAGGTCAGAAGTCACATGACACCAGGTTATAGTCCAACAGGTTTATTTGAAATCACAATCTTTAGGAGTTCTGTCCCTTCATCACTTCACCCACTTCTTGGGTTCACGTTGCGCCACATGTAACCCCACCATACTCCACTCACACCATTTGTACTATATTTTGATCCCTCTGCCTATAAATTCCGTGCCTGTGTGCTTCCCTACACTTCATCTGATGAAGGAGCAGTACTCCAAGAGCTTGTGATTTCAAATAAACCTGTTGGACTATAACTTAGTGTTATGTGACTGCTGACCTTGTACACAGCAGTCCAATACTGGCACTTCCACATCTTGAAGTGTTAAGATCAACAAGAAACTTTCCACATTAATAAAACAAAATGATCATTTTAAGACAAGAGATACAGCTGATCAATTTTCCAAAAAGAGGTTCTAACCAGAATTCTGTATTCACAATAATATTCACAGAAATTTTGCTAAAATCAAAAGATAGAGATCACAAAACAGGGAACTAATGCAAGTGCCTGAAGTAACCCCATACCAAACAGGATATGAGCAATTTAAACAGCCATTCACTGTACAGCACTTCCTCAGCAACTACAATTACTGTGCTAGCGTAAAATGTTACCAAATCCTGTCTGAAACAAGATAGCAATACGAGTGACTACTTCTTGACTATATAGTTTCAATTTTGTTGTTTTTTGGTGTGCTTCAATATGAGGAAGTCCAAGATTTGGATCTATAGAATTAATTTTTTAAAACTAGTAATATGAAATAGTTACTAAAATCCAAAATACTGGAACATGAATTTCACAGTGAAAAATAATCAGAAGTTTATCAAATGTGAATTTCTAATTTTGGACATATACAGTTACATTTTACTTACCCTAATTCTGTCATACCGTCTATGAATTCTTGTTTTGAGAATTCACATTGTGTGGCTGCTCGAAATTTCCATGCAACAACCAGTACACTGATACTGGCTGGATCCAATCCTAAATCATCGCAGAACTGTTGAATACCGTCTATTCCTATTTTGTTTTCATCTTGCGGATCTAAAAGTGAAGAAAAGTAAAAAAATTAACTCAGAAAATGCTAAAGCTTCAAGAAGGTGTCTGCCCAACTGTTAAATGCACACATACAGTTGAGACTGAAGTTTGAGAATTCAAGCTACACTTAGAACTCAATGTAGGCTGGCATATCGGTGTGTCATTGGGAATGCTCAAATTTTGCAACACCATCCTTCAAATGAGATGTCAAATTAAGGAGCTGTCTACCTGTTGTGGGATTGGAGTGAACTTTAAAAGTGCTTTGCTGGTATACAAGAAGAACTTAGTCTCCCAGTAATCTAGCCAACATTCTTACCCTCAAGCCTCTAATGCCAAAATAAGTGACTTGCATTTATAGGACTCCTATTTACATTGTGCCTTAAAGTAATAAAATGACCTCAATTGCTCTGTACGAGCATGATTCAAGATGGTGCCAACACAAGTCAATGCTATGCTAGCTCTCTGTGGTTGATCTTATTCTCACATTTCACACATTTCTGCACTTTTAAACCTAACATTCTAAGTCGGTTCATCTTCTTTGCAGCTGTAACTTTGTATTCCTCACTCTGTTCAATCACCCCATGATCTTTGTATGTTATGATCTGCCTGTACTGCATGCAAAACAAAACTTTTCACTATACCTTGGTACAAGTGACAGTAATAAGTCAAATCAAATTTAAGATGAAACAAAATGGGACAGCCAGCCACAGGAGGAGATATTAGATCAAATAGCCAAAAGGTTGTGCAAAAAAAGTAAGTTAACGGAGATAGAAAAAAAACAGAAAGTCTGAGGTATAGAAGGAACTACAGAATAAGGGCCAAAGCTACAGAAGGCATTGTCACCAATTGTGCAGTGATTAAAACTGAAGGCGCTGGAGGCCAAAAACAGATGCATAGATACAAGGGTTGTAAGGCTGGAGGAGACTGCAGCTACGAAGGGGTGATGCCATGGAATAACTTGAAAACAAGGACAAGGAATTCAAAATCAAGACATTGCTCAATAGTGGATCACTGTAGGTTAACGAGCACTACTTGGAGTGGGCAACAGAGTTTTGGACAATGTCAAGTTTAGAGGGAGCAGAATGTGGGAGACCAGCCAGAAGTGCAATTTTTACATTTATTTATTCATGGAATTTGGGAATCATTGATCAGACCAACATTTATTGCCCATCTCCAATTGCCCTCAAGAAGGTAGCAGTGAGCTGCTTTCTTGAAAGACTGCTGTCCGTACAGTGCAAGAGTGGAAAACTCCTGTCCAGAGGTAATAAAAACAAGGTGAGGGGGTTTCCAAAGCAAATGAACAAAGATGGAGTGAAGTTAGTGACGTTACTGAAGTTCAAAAGGGCAATCTTACATGACGGCACATACGTGCGGGAGTAAGTCAAAGATGACACCAAGGTTGTGTGCTGATTGTTTCAGCCTCAGTCTGCTGCCAAAGAAAAGTGATGGGTCACGGATTAGGGCAGTAGTTTGTCTCTCTAACACCCTAAGAACACTTCACTTTTTCCAAATACATTTGGCTATCCTTCTTACCGGATCCTAAACTCTCTCACCCCGTCCTAAACCTCTCCGAGTCCCTCTCCTTTTCCTTGAACCCATTGCTTAAAATCCCTGACATTGAGGATGTGATCAACTGTTCTAACATCACCTTCTGGATGAACATAAATTTCTCCCAATTAAGTTTGAAGTTTGAAGACATTATTTTCAGTTCCACTCCAAATTCCTTTCCCTAGTTCCTAATCACGCTTTCTTAGAATGGAGAGAGACTAAATGTAAAATGCCAAATAAACATTAAACAGATTGAAGTCAGCTCCATGACAGCATTCCAAATTTGAAGTTAAACTTGACATATTTGCAAGCACACTCACAGTTTCCTTGGAAATCTTAGAAAAGGTTTTCTTCGTAGGGTTCAATTATGCAGAGTGCAGTTATGATCCCACCTGATATCACAGCTGAACAAGTCAGATCTCACAAGGGGCGGCATGGTAGCTCAGCGGTTAGCACTGCTGCCTCACAGCGCCAGAAACCTGGGTTCGATTCCACCCTCGGGCGACTGTCTGTGTGGAGTTTGCGCATTCTCCCCGTATCTGTGTGGGTTTCCTCCGGGTGCTCCGGTTTCCTCCCACAGTCCAAAGATGTGCAGGCTAGGTGGATTGGCCATGCTAAACTGCCCATAGTGTTCAGGGATATGTAGACTGGGTGGGTTATAGGGTGATGGGTCTGTGTGGGATGCTGTAAGGTTCGGTGTGGACTTGTTGGGCCGAAGGGCCTGTTTCCACACTGTAGGGATTCTATGATTCTAAAATCTGACACTTTTTAAAAATGAGATAGTCTTTCAATGAAACACAAACACAATGCTACAGATATGATTTCAACATCAAAATAAAAGTTATTGCTCAAAAGAAATGAAGATAAAATAAAATGAGCCAAATTATCTACAGATTACCCAAAGAGAGATTGGGAAACACTGTAAAATACGATATACTAACCATCCGAACAGTATGCCTTTACAGTACTAAAACACCAGAAAGAATTCCTTTTTCTATCATATTTAAAGGTTTGGCCTAATTGGTGCGTTCAATTCCTGATCTTCAGAGTCTGCTAGCTTCTTCCTTGAGTAGTTACGCAACTGAGCTTTGGCTTTCTCAGCTTCAAACAACCCTTTCATGGATCTAACCAAATACCTTTGACCTGGACCTTTCAAACTAAACTTTTACACTGAGGTAACCTATTACTAACTTTTCTGAACTGACTCCTTGTTGTGGAAGACGTAACTTCTTGCTTCTAACTTCAACCAGGACTCTTCTATGAACTTCAAGCTATGGGCTTCTCCCCCAAGCAAGAAAAAAGTTAACTGCTAACTCTAATCCAAAAACAATTGTTTTAACATCACCTTCTGGATTAACATTAATTACTTCCAATTAATTATTCTTAAGTTTGAAGCCATTATTTTCAATTTCAGGTCCAAAATCCTTTCCCTAGTGATTGCTCTCTTGCAGAATGGAGGGAGATTAATGTTTTTCGGAGATTAATGTTTTGCCAGGTTATAAAATTCTCCCAATGCAAACGAATTCCCATTGGCACACCAGGAACTCGTTCATATTGGTTTGAAAACAAAACCATGGTTCCAGGAACACTGACAAGTTAATCATTAAACTCCCTCAGAGGCAAAACCAAGAGCAAAACCCACATGCTACTTGCTCAAAATCCAAACCCTAAAATAAATGTTATTAATTATATATAAATAAATTACACAATTTATACCGCAGTGTGTAAAAGAATCTGGTTTCTCACCAATGCCTAAACTTATTTTGAGTCCAGATAGAAATAAACAAAGAATGCCAAAGAATTCCCAATAAAGACACATTAATGAATTTCTTCAGTACCCACACAGAATTTGGGGATGCAACGTAAACAAAGCTGGAAAATTTACAACCCTAAACACTAGAATGTTCTGAATTTGTCTGCCACCTTGAGTGTGTACATTTTCTGTGATTACTCTTCCTTCAACAGCCTTTTAACTGCAATTAATTACTTTTGTTCTTTCTTGCCATACCATCTGTTGAGGTTATATCCCTACACTACGTTTCTGTACACTGATCAGTATTGAATTTTTCTATGCATCTGACAATGCACTAGATCTCTTTCCCATCTAAATGGTATGCTCTGAAGACTCTTATTTTCTAAACAATCGCATGTATAGAAATTAAACGTTCTGAATGAATGGTAATGGTTTCAAGATTGATTCCAACACTACATCTTTAGGCACTAATTCATAATTTTGACATTGAATAGTTTTGAGTTTTGCATTGAGGTTGGTATCAACACCAAGCAACGTTTTGCTTGGAAGATAGAATATTAGCAGTTACAAAGATAATTTTGAAACATTCAAGCAAGACAAAGGCATGGTATGGCATGGTGGCTCAGTGGTTAGCACTGCTGCCTCACAGTGCCAGGGACCGGGGTTCAATTCCACCCTCGGGCATCTGTCTGTGTAGAGTTTGCACATTCTCCCCATGTCTGCGTGGGTTTCCCTCGGGTGCTCCAGTTTCCTCCCACAGTCCAAAGATGTGCAAGTTAGGTGGACTGGCCAAGCTAAATAGCCCACCTGAGTAGGCTAGATGGGTTAGCCATGGGAAATGCAGGTTTACAGGGATAGGTAGAGTTACAGGGATAGGTAGGGGGATGGGTCTGTGTAAGATGCTCTTCGGATGGTGGGTGTGGACCTGTTAGGCTGAATAACCTGTTTCCACACTGTAGGGATTCAACGTTCTATTCTATGTTCGAGTAAGATGCAGGCTCTCGCATAGAAGAACTGCATTCAATTTAAACAGATCTACAAATTTATGGACCACTATTTTGTGAACAACCTAGCATGTCTGGACAGGATGATTAAAAACACCAATAATCATAACAGACTTAAGCCTTAAAATTAAAATAAAGTGAAACTCAAAATCTTACAGGTACAGCGGGGTTTAAAAGCCAAATAGTTTACTCCTGTTCCCAAGTCCTATGTTCCTATAATGTAATAAGATCCACTGTTTTAGAAAAGGATGATCACAAACCATGAACAAAATGGCATCTCAATTTCAGCTGAAAAGACATATATCAATAAAATGAAAGGAAAATTGAAATAAGGAATCTGCTTAACTTCAACAGTGAGCATAAAGCCATACTTTGATGCCATCCCAACACCAAGCGTGACAGACAAATGTAGCCAGTTCTCAGGGAAAGTATATAATTCTGAACCAACAGACATTTAAAATGAAAATGGATCACTATTTGTCAAGAAACATGATTGATGGTGTAACAGTCTAAACAACGTCCAGAAGTAATTTAGTGTTTCTTAAAATAAGAACCAAAAGGTTTTGATGGGAATTTCATGCCAGAATAAATGCACATATGCACCTACTGCAGTTTGTTTACTTGTGGTCTTGCTTTTTTATGTCAGTTTAAATTTGCACCTTTCAGAATATAAAATAGCATGAATACTAAAAGGCTCCATGCCAAGAATTTTTAATTGCTCAT